CGTGGAGGGCAAGCGGGCAAGTGGAGCATGGGTGAGCCAGGTCAGTGGGAGCTGTTCGCACCGTGTTGCGGGCACCTTAGCAAGGGATCAATGAACACGGGAGAACACACTGGTGCAGCTGCCTCAGCAGAGACCAAAGTACCTCAGCTTAAATACCACTGAACTTTCTCTCCCCTTGGAGGGTCCCAGCTGGCAGCTGATCCCGGAGTACAGTTGGTTCTGACCCACGAGGATCCCAGGAGCACCTTCTACCTGGGCCCCCAATGTTGTTGTACCCGCCTGCATGGCTGAAGAATGTTCACTCACACACACACACACACTCCAGCTCATGGGAATGAGACAAGAGGAAGGAGAGAGCAAGTATCTTCCTTTTAAAGGATGATGGGCAGCAGCTCACATCACTTCTCTCTTCCGACCCCAGTGACCTCAGCTCAGTCACACGGCCATGCCTGGCCAGGAGGGAGAAGCACATGTCCCCTGAGGGTGTGGTCTACCTGCTGTCTGTCTTTTGTGGTATTTTCCAGCACCCACAACCTTCTCGGATTCTCCTGACACCAACCAGGCGTTTCACGATTCAGTTCAGTTCTGACACTACCTGGCGGCAGCACAGACCTCCCCCAGCTTCAGGACAGCGAGAAGATGGCTTTTTAGTAACCAGGAGGAAACAGACCCGCACCAATTCCTGAACCTGCCCGTGCCTTGATCGTGGACTTGGTGAGATGATAGCTACTTGGAGATCAATGGAAAGGATAGAAGGCCCAGAAAACAGACCCACGTAAGTATGGCAAATTGATTTCTGGCAAAGGTGTACAGGCAACTGAATAGAGAAAGAACAGCCTTTTCCAATGGTGCTTCAACATTCAATTGAATGTTCACATACAAAAATACAAAAACAAAAAACTTCCACCCACACTTCAGATCTATCACAAAATTTAATTCAAAATGGATAGTATATCTAAAAGTAAAATGTAAAACTATAAAGCTTTAGAAAACATGGAGAAAATCTTAATAACCTCAGTGTAGGCAAAAAGTTCTTAGGATACCAAAAGCACAAGACAAAAAAGAAAAAAATGGATATATTAGACGTCATCATAATCAAAAACCTCTGGTCTGTGAAAGATCCTGTTAGGAAAATGAAAGACAAGCTACGGACTGGAAGAAAATAGTTGCAAATCACATTTCCATTAAAAGACTTCAATCCAGGGTCTCCCTGGTGGCGCAAGGGGTTAAGACACAACCTATGAAGCTATCTGCAGCCTCTGCAGCATGAGTTCAATCCCCAGCCAGGGAGCTACCCTCATGGCGCAGCAGACCTCTGCTGTCTTGCCTGCTGCTCCCCACAGCAGTGTATTTCAGTCAGTCTGCCTGTTCTGTTCCCCACTCTCTCTCTGGTGAATCCTCTCACACTCCACACCTCTGGCCTGTTCCCCAGTTCTTGTGTGCATAAATAAATAAATCTTAAAAAAAAAAAAAAAGACTTCAATCCAGAATACAACCCTTCAATCTTGACAGTAAGAAAACCAACAACACAATTTTTTTTAACGGGCAGAAGATCCATTTTGGGGCTCTTCTCTTCACGAAAGAGAATATAAAGGTGGCAAATAAGCTCATGAGTAGTTGTTCAACGTCACCAGACAGACTAAAACTGTAACTTGTGGCTGAAGCCAAAGACTGTTACAGCTGGCACCCTCTGGAGGGGTTGCTGGTGAGGATAGATAGCTCCAGGGAAAATGAGAGCAAAGTATTGCATTTTGGGGTGGAGACTCTGATAGGAAATATAAGGGACTGCAGAAGCAGCCCCCAAGATTCAGTGTTCAGCTTTTGAGCATTTGGTGTTTGGGATTCAGCGTTTTCACCTCTTCAGCGATTCCAGGGTCAGCAATTTCGGCCCCCACTGTACCAATCTTCCAGAAGGCTGTTGTGGGCTTCTGAAGGATGTGGAAAGGCTTCCAGCAGCCAACCTCAGAGAGGAAAAGTTCAGAAGCTTTGCAGGTGGCTGAGCAACTAAAACTGTTCCCACTTTTGCTGCTGTTACAGCCTGGCAGGGAAGGCAGAGACCTGGAGCAGGCACCTCACTGAGCTGCGTGAGTGTGGCCGTTTGTCGGGTGGTTCAGCTGCTGCAGCTGCTGTTTTGAGTGTTGCTTGTCTGGTGCTGTGCATATCGGCAGATCCAGGGAGCACCTCCTATTGTGTCTTCTGTTGTCTTTGGGAGTTGGAACCCCACCTATAGTCTGGCTGTCACATGGTGCTCCAGGTCCTCAGTGTTGGGAAGACGCCATATTGGGAGTGTTTATGTTTAGGACTTTAAAAACACTGGGCACTGCTTCATGTGAGTTAAATGGCCAGTTTTGACCTCAGTAACTCTTTGTTTTCCCCTGTTTTGTTAAATAAATTCCATTATTGCTCTCTGAACCTGAGTAGTCTTGCAATTGTGTGTGCAGGTAAAGAACTCAGATAGTGACCAATAAACTATTTGGCTAGTGTCCTTGGCCAGTTTTAGTGCCCTTTGCTGCCCTGTATCAAAATCAGGATTGAGATACCATGACACATCTAATATGGCCTAAAGAAAAAATATTGCTAATACCAAGAGCTAAGAGGATGTAGAACAATTAGAATTCTTGATTACTGAGGACGAAAATACAAAATGGTTCAGCCACTCTGGACAACATTTTGGCAATTTTCTAAAATTGCACACACAATTACATATGACCCAGAAATCCAAAAGCATGGTATTTGCCCTACAAAAATTATTATATAAGTGCCTACAAAAGCCTATGCAGAGTTGTACTGGTCATAATTGCCCCAAACTGGAGACAATTCCCTTGCTGTGCAATGATTGACTAAATAAACAGACCATGGTACAGGCGTTTATCAGAATATTTACTGCTCAGCCATTAAAAGAAAGGCGCTGTTGATACACAGAGCAAATTGGATTAATCACAAAGGCTTAGGTTGAGTAAAGGAGTCTGTCTAAAAAGGTTATAATTCATTTCTATGACATTCTCAAAAGATAAAACTATAATGATGGAGAACAGATCAATGGTTGCCAAAGATTAGAGCTGGGAGGAGGAATAGGAAGAGCTTGCACTGGAGAATCCTGTGGGGGGATGTAAGCCTTCTGAACCCTGAGCTGGAGGTGTTTACAGAAACCTATGCACGTGTTAAAACTCAGAACTGTGCACCAACAAAAAGAAAAGTCCGGGCCTCCCCGGTGGCGCAGCGGTTGAGCGCTGGGTGGCGAAGCTGCCCGCGGCCTCTGCGGTGCCGGTTCGATCCCCTGCTGCTCCGGCCACCGGAGGAGGGTCCCACATGGCGCGCAGACCTCTCATGCCGCCTACTGCTCCCCTCAGCAGTGCACTTCGGTCCTTCTGCCTGCTCTGCTCCCCGCTCTGGCTCTGGTGGATTCTCTCACCCTCCCGCGCTTCTGACTGTACCCAGTGCTTGTACAAATAAATAAATAATAAATCTTTAAAAAAAAAAAAAAGAAAGAAAAGTCCACTTTACTGGGTGATAATTTTAAAATCAAAAAGTTAGTATCTCTAAAGTGCTTACAACAGGGCCTGGCAAATAGTGAGCTTTCAAAAAAGTGTTCGTTAGTGGCCTCCCTGGTGGCGCAGTGGTTAAAATCTCAGAGCCATCAGGCCTCCATGGTGGCGCAAGGGGTTAAGATGCAACCTATGAAGCTGTCTGCAGCCTCTGCAGCACGAGTTCGATCCCTGACCAGGGAGCTACCCACATGGCGCAGCAGACCTCTCCTGACTCACCCACCGCTCCCCTCAGCAGTGTATTTCAGTCAGTCTGCCTGTTCTGCTCCCCACTCTGTCCCTGGTGAATCCTCTCACCCCCAGCACCTCTGGTCCGTACCCCAGCTCTTGTATGCATAAATAAATAAACACTTTTTAAAAAAATCTCAGCACTATCAAGCTATCACCAGCCACTACAGCATGATTTTGATCCCTGGCCAGGGAGCTGATCCACATGGCGCAGCAGCCATCTCCAGTCTTGCCCGTTGCTTCCCTCAGCAGTGTATTTCAGTAGATCTGCCTGTTCTACTGAAGGCCTGCTGGAGCTGCCTAACTCCCAGGAGCATCTTCAGCTTTCCTGGGGTCTGTGCCTTCTGAGGAGTCACATCCTAGGTGAGGTATCCCCAGAAGAGTCTATGCAAGCAGAGGAGAGGTGAGGATTCATGATCATCCTGCAAAAACAGCTCCCCAGGTTAAGGGGAGGGGGCTGCCTTGGATTGGGTCCCAGGCATACTTGTGAACAGTGGCCTCCAAAAGAAGCTCTGATTTTGCTGGGCCAGCCTCTGAGGCCAGAGCAAACTGTTTGTCCCTGAGCCTGGGCTTTGTCAACTGTGAAAAGTGCATCATAAAAGGCCTGTAAAGGGTTATGAGGATTTAATGATACAATTCCTGTAAGATGCTCAGCTCAATGTAAGTGCCCAATAAAATGCTACATTTTGTTGCTATTATATGCCATAAAGAGATGGACAGGATGTACCCTAAATGTGAACAGCGGGTTACCTTTTACAGTGGGATGTTTTTTTCTCCAACATTTCATGATGAAAACTTTCCAAGTTACAGCAAGTTGAGACTGTTCAGTGAGTCTCGTTAATGAGATTTAAGCTACTTTTTCTTTCTTTTTTGCTTATCTAGGGTTTATTTTTTCCTACAGCAGGCATATATTACTTGGGTAATAAAAAACAAACACAAGGGAGGGAAAGTGAGGGGGAGTTGAACAGAAGAGAACCAAGGCCAGAGTCCCACAGAGCAAAGTCGCTGTCTCAGCCCAGAGCCTCAACTCTGCCATCAACTGTCTTAGAACCAGCCCCATAACCTAACTAGAAATTCTTCCAGCCATTGAGCCATTTCGCCCACATATCACTCTGGTGTCCACAGGAGACCAGGAGAGAGTTTTGTCAAGTGCCTTGTTGAAATCCAGATACAAGGGGGCTTTGGCACCTCCATTACCCACCAAGCCATCCCACCAACAGTGCAAACCAGTCAACCCGGACTCATCTGTCCCTGTGTGTTCTAATCAGGCCTCCGCTTGCCACTTGCAAACCCAGGAGCCTGGATCCTGGAGTCCCACTGCGCTGGACCTGAATCTCACTTGCATTTCTCAGCTGTGTGACTTTGGGAAAGCTGCGTGACCTCTCTGAACCTCCCTGTAAAAAGGGAATAAATAAGAAAATCCATGTTCAGCCTTCTTTGACAACTAAAATAGGGAATATATCTGTCTCCTTCCCCATCCAAACTGTGGTGTCCTCAAGACCAAGTTCTGGGCTTTCTATCTTTGTACCTCAGTGCTTGGTATTAAGGATGCCCCTCTCTCCTCCCCCCCTAGTCCAAAGTGTCCTTCTCTTCTCTCCATGTCTCTGCCTCCTGCAGCTCCACGACTCTCCCCACAGTTCTCACCAACTCCCTTTGTACATGTTGTCCTCTCTTTCACCCAGTGCTTCCCTCACGTTCCCCCCACTTCTCCCTCCCTCCCCTGCCACATCCCTTGCCCAGCCCAGATGGCAGGCTCCATCCTCACCCCACCCCATGCCCCCAGGGCCTGCGAGCCTTCTCTGGCTCCCCAGTGGGGAGCAGGATGGCACTAATAGAGCGGTGTGGGCTCATTTACTCAATCACTGCTACCAATGTCATTAGTTCCAAGAGGGCCGTGGAAAGCCATTAGTGTGACTCAGCGTGTGCCATCCATCAGCAGGGGTGGGGGGGTGACAGCAGAGAGGAGAAAACAAGAAACTAATTCATCTTCTGCTCTCTTGGAGCCTCCCATGGGGAACAAGGCCAGCTGAGGCCAGGACAGCCCCATGGAACTGTGGGTTCTTTGGGTCCCTCCTTGACACCCTGTTGCACCACAACTTTTCACCTCTTATAGGATGCAGGGGTGGGGTGCTGCCCCGAGCTGGAGGGCACTGTTCTGATACCTACCCACCCCACCACGGGCACTGCAGACCTGCCTGTCCCTTGACCCTCCCTGCCTCGTCCTCCCCTACCCTCTGTCCACTTTCTTCTGCCCCTGCTGTGTCCTGCGCCGCCCCCCTGCCACCTGCTCTGGGGTCCCTTGAAGTTTCAGCCAGCTTGAGTCATGTCTGCCACTGCCTCAGGGGTCTTCCTGCTTAAAGTCCCTGCACCAGAGTGGGCCATTCAAGAAAACCTCTTGAAACTGCTGTCCCAGAGCCTGGGGGTTCCTAAAAACCACGCTCGCCCAAAGGAGATTTTCTCTATGATCCTTCCTTGGACTTCAGGAGTCTGTGAACCCCTTGAAATGACATGGTAACATTTGCATGAAGCACATTTTTCTCCGGAATGGTGTCCTTGGATTCTAGCAATATTTACAGCCCCCGCCACCCCCCCACCACCACCTCTCCTGCTGGCAAGGTCACCTTCTTCCTGTGTGCACCCCACACCCCAGTGCCAGTCTGTAGCTCAGAGAGAAAAGTGAAAAGCTACTGAGCAGTACCTGCTGTTTGGAAGCCCCACTCACACCTGTTATTTTCAGTTGCTCTTAGAAAGGTAGGGGGAATTGTGGAGGTCGCCCCCACTCCCACTTCCTGGCTGGGTCAGGGCCCCTCCTGTGCTCCCCACAACATGGCCCTTAGCACTCTCCATTAAAAGAGCAGAGGTGTTGTCCACCTGCCCCCTGGACTGTGGGCACCTTGCTTACAGTGCCCTTGACATTCCTCGCCATCCTGGCCTCGTGCTCAATGTCAGGCCAAAGAAAAGCCTCTGGAAATGTGTGTTAGATGAAGAGAGAAATGAGACCCCAGTTCACAGACAGTAGCCCTGAGATTTGATGGTCTCGTGCAGGGAACAACCCAAACACTAGTACCCGGCAGTCTTATCTTCCAGGCTGGAGTCAGGCAAAATCAGAAAAAGTTTAAGCAAGGTGGTAAGAGGCGAAACAGGCTTAGTAGGGGAAGTAAATTTGGGCATGCAGCAGGAACTGTCAAGACAGGACAGGTCTGGACAGTCCTTCAAGCTGATGAGATCTCAGTGATCTATGAGATCTATGAGGTCTATGCCTGAAGCTAGACCAGACTGGTTCTGCGCTCAGCTGGGGATGGGTGGATGCCTGTGACCAGGCTAGGCAGGGCCGGCTTCCTGCCCATGGGCAGCTGCTCATCTGTCTCAGAGAAGATGGTTTCTTGCTCAGACAACCACCAGCAAGGGCTGCCTTAAGAGGGAGAAGGAGCTGGTGGTTCCAAGTCTTTAGCCTCCAGCAACAGATCCTGAAGGCATCTGGGAGAGAAGGATCAGGGCCCCAGAGGATTTGGGGTGTGGAGCCCTGGGAGGAAGGAGGCATGAGGGGTCTGGCCCCTGCCTGCCCTAGACCCAGCTCTGGGACGCAGTCAGCATCACACAGACCCGGTCCTTCCGGGACACGGGTGGCCTGAGCCTCCCCCTTCTGGAACTCAGGGGTCTGGGCGCTCACACAAGGGAAGGAGTGGGGAGCCTGTCAGGGTGTAGTGGATAGATCCCTGGGGACACTGCAGGGTGTGAGGGCTTTCACTGCCCAGGAAGAGTCCCTCACACACCCCCTGGAGCACCCACTGCCCACAGACCACAAGCTCAGCCCCCAGCTCACTGTGGGACCCAGATGCTGCACAGCAAGGCAGCGTCCGCTCAGACCCACGCGCGAGCATGTCCCCGCACACTGACAGGTGCACACTTGGGTACCTGGCAACCCCAGGGGCGTGCCCATGCGCCCACTCCACACCCCTTCCCACCCCTCATCCCACACTATGCAGGTCTGGCAGCCGTCACACCTGTTCCCGTCTGGGGATGCTCGGCGGTGCCCGCCCGCCTGGCTTCCCTAGGAGAGCAAGGGTGTTTGCGCAGCTAAGTGGCCAGTGTGTACAGAGCCTCCACCTTATCTCCACAAACACTGCCTGCGGCCCGCCTGCTGACTGCCGGAACAGCGTGGCCTCCCGCTTCTAGCCCCCATTAGTACCAGCCCGGGAACCCTAGCCCGCCGGCCATCCGGCCCCCGCTGATAAGGACAGGAGACAGCCGAGGGGACCGCCACTCCAACCACCCGCATCTCTGATCACCCTGCAGATCTGGAGAAATGACGGGCACTGGCCTCCCCTGCAGACTGGGGGCTGGGGCCGGGGCAGCGCACTCCCAGCCGGGCTCCCCGCGGCTACCATCCTGCCTCAGTCAGCCTCTCCCTTCCAGTTCGGGCCCCACTGTGGCCTTCAGTCCTGGCTGCCCGTGTCCACCTCCTGCCGCTTGTGGCCATCTACACAACCAGGGACCCACCTCTGGATCTTTCCCAGCAGGTGGGAACCAGACCCCTCAGAAATTCCTGAAAACTCCTACTAGCACCACCACCACCAATACCATTAATAATAACTGCCGGGCAGTAAGAACCACTGGCCAATAACAAGCACTGTCCAGGCTTAACTGAGACGCAGATCCGCCAGAGAAATTTTACCATCGTCTGATTTCTCCAGCAGTTCAGCAAGGGAGGCGCTGCTACTATCCCCACTTTACAGAGGCGGAAAGCACTTACCTAGGAAATAGCACGCGAATGTGAACCCTGTGCTGTCTGAACAGAGAGGCTACACCTGCTGCTGCCTCTTCCTAAGAGACTTGGCAATTACAAATGAAGAAACTGAGGCACAGTGCCAAGAGCCCTCCCAGGCACATCTCTGTGCCCCAACTTCTGTGCCCTGCCCCCCACCCTGGGCTCCCAATGGGCTCTGAGGACTGAAATTAATTGTCTCTCGTCTAGATCAGGACCTGGTGGGATCATTAAATCTCCATTTTGCTCTTAATTAAATCTGGTAGTACCAGGTACAACTTTTCCTCTCCTAAATTTAAAGAAAAGTGATCATACGACTTTTAAAATGAAAAAGAGATGGCCCTTCTAAATAAAAAACAAATGAAATACAAAGAAAATTTTTATGAATTTGACTAAATTAAAATTAAGTGTCTCTGTACAATGAAACACTACATTAACTGCAAGCCTCACCTAAGAAAACATATCCACTGATAACCAAAGAAGTATTAAGATCTGGGATACCTGAAGTGTAACTACAAATCAACAAGAAAATAAGAGGCCCCCATTTTATTTATTTTTAATTCTTAAAAAAGATTTATTTTTATTTATTTATGCATACAAGAACTGGGTGTAGGCCAGAGGTGCAGGGGCAGGGAGGGTGAGAGGATTCACCAAACAGAGTGGGGAGCAGAACAGGTGGATCTACTGAAATACACTGCTGAGGGCAGCAGCAGGGAGACAGGAGAGGTCTGCTGTGCCATGTGGGTCAGCTCCCTGGCCGGGGATCAAACTCGTGCCACAGTGGCTGCTGATAGCTTGATAGTGCTGAGACTTAACGCCTTGTGCCACCAGGGAGGCCCAACCCCCCAGCTATTTTTGAATCCCAGCTATATGTGCATCCTCATGCTAGACACACAGCTAAGATCCCCATAGCAGTCCAGCGGGGGCCCTGTTACTAGCTCCAGTCTACTGATAAGGCAACTGAGGTTCAGAGAGTTTAAGCGACCTGTCTCCGGTTGCACAGCCAATAAACAGCAATACTGGGGCTCAGTCTCAGTCTGGTCTGGGGCTGTCCTGAGCTCTTCAGTGGGACTCCTATGTGGGTCGGCACAGACATAGGTGACTGTGGCCCTGAAGCTGTCTTTATTACCCATATTCCCCGGCTGAGCACTGCTCTCCCCTTCCCTGTCATTAATTGCACCGAGAGCCTCCTGAGAAAAGCAGCTTCCCCTCCCTCCACCCCTGCTGCTCTCTGTCTTAATTACTTCTCCTCCTGTCTGTAATGGATGTCTCAGAGCCCCAGAGACACAAAACTTCACCAAGCACAGCCGCCTCCAAGGCTCAGTCCTGCCTCCCAGTACATCCCTTAGGGCCAGAGATTGGCCCAGCCTGCCTGGCCCTTCTCCAGCTTCAGCCACAGAGCATATCTGTCCCTCAGCCTCCCTGATCCCATTGCAATGCAGATCCTAAAATCAAACCATGGGGTTCCGGATCCTCAGATTGGGGGGT